TGTGTGTGTGTGTGTGTGTATGTATGTGTACCAATTGTCTTTGCCCTAATTGCATGAACTATAAATGAACACATCTAGCTTGAAATATTAAGGGTAAATGGATCGGTATCCCAACAAAAAAGTAGTATTGCTTTATGAATTTTTCAAATCAACACAAAAATAATAAAATCACATATTTGATCTCCCAGTGATTACATTTTCTTATATAATATAAATATCATTTCAACTAGTCTTTGAAACCCAGAAAATCATTATTTTCACTAAGTTTTTTTATCATCAATAAAATAATCAACAAAAAATACAAAAAATAGTTTCAAAATTTTTTAATTGTGTTAATATACTAACAAGGAAAAGTTATCCTCATGCGAGATATTTCAAATGCTTAAACTTCTGATATATTTTTGAAATATATAGAGACGCACATCTGTAGAAACTTGAAACTGCAAAAACAACATACATGCATAAATTCACTCGAGATAATTCAATTTAACTAACAATACTGAGATATGAACTAAAGATCTTTTCGAAAGAACTAATCCAGCAGCATGCAAAAATAAGTCTTGAATAACCTTTTATTGCTATTTATATGCATGCAATATTATTGTGACAAAAATATCTGTTTTTGTGTTCAATTTTATACAAAACGTTTTCTTTGCAGGAAAGAGATAAAAATAAAAGTTAAAAAAGGAAAAAAATCTCTTTTAACAACTTGAAATTTTTTTTACAAAACGTATATGATAAATAATGACACATGCTCTCACTTGTCAAAAGGTTATTAAAAAAAATTGTTAAAATATCCTTAAAGGTGAGTGTATAAAAGAAAAGAAATTATATTGCTACTGTGACAACATCGAGATGTACTTCAGTTTTATTTATGTTTTTGTTTTACGGTACATGCACGAGTATCATGAGCTTCATGGATCTAGCTAAGGGAGACAAGGCTCAAACTAGTGTCATATAATAACATACAATGTTTTCATTGACTTGTCTCCTTTCTAAGATCGAAAACATGCATTGATAAATACTAAATAAAACCAATCCTCAGATCTGACAGAAATATTAAACAAACAAAATCATATAAAAATAGAGAAACAGACAAAAACTTCTTTGGGAGTTTATCACTTATCCACTAATCTCTTCCGTTGCCAGTAATTAATTAACGTTTGTCGATCTCAAAACATCGTTTTCGTATACTTCTTCAACTGATTCGGTTTAGTTACTTATCAGACTAAGTGGTTAATAGAATAAGATACTCACAGCTCTTGTGTCGGTGGCCACTGCAGTGACAACGAACATGAGAATAAAGCTGACAATGAACTCTGTGGCGAAAGCTTGCCCATATCCTACTGAAGGGACCGTCACTCCACCGCTCATGAAGGGATGAAAAACCACTTTCAGAGCAAATGCAGCACTTACTGATGCCAAAACTT